TTGTGCGCGAGCCTCGCTCAGCCCCTCTTCGCATGTCTTTGTGCGTCTCCCCCGGCGAAGCCCTCCGTGCCCCGAGCAGGGGGTGTGGCACGGTCTCGGCGGGCAGGGCGCCCTCCGCTGCTCTCCCTTCCAGGCTCGCTCCTCTCGCCCCTCGCCGGCTCCTTTCCCTCCTTTCGGAGCTCCCTCCCCTTCGTCTCCTCCTCCCTCCCTGTCTCACCGCCTGGGCTCGCCTCTCCACACCCGCTCCTCGCTCAACCCTCTCCTGCGTCCCCCCTGCCTGGTGCTCCCTTCCGAAGTCCCCCTCAGCCCGCCTCCCCGCCTGAGGACACAGCCTTGGGCTCACCTGCTGCCTCTCCTCCTCTCAGCCTCTTCCACTACCCCTTCATCCTCCCCATATCCTCACTCGCGCTATATGGCACACAGGGCTCCAACTCATTTCCTTCCCGGTCGGGGTGCAGGGTGTGGGACAGAGCTCTGGGGCACAAGTACCCGGACCCTTGCACATAGGCATCCTCCTCTCTCTTTGCCCCCTCCCCCTCACCGGGTTGTACAGAGAAGTGCCCGCATGGGCGCCCTGAGACCCCTGGAGTGGGGGCGGTAATGAGGATGCTGGCTTCGTCTAGGTCATGCCTGGGGAAGGGTTATCGCGCCAAGAGCAACCCTCGCCCCATCTCCAAGGGTGCTTGACCTGGGCAGGGAGCTCTGATCAGCAAAATGTTCCGGACTAGAAAGGATGGAGAACGCACCGGGAGCCAGGGCGAAGACATCTAGGGATGCAGATGGAAGGGAAGCAAAACCGGCGAGGCTCTTAGTGCAGGACCCCTTTGCTGGGAACAGAGGTTGCCAACGCTCTTGGGCGGGAGACCTCGGACCTCAGTCTGAACTCGGCGCTCCCTGCTTCTCTCTCATCAGGATCCCAGCTTGGCAAGTACCAGACCCCACCCAGACTCGTGGACTGCCGCGCGGGGGCAGCTGCACTCGTGGCGACAGGGATGCGAGAACCGAACCCGCAATCGAGATCGAGGGGAAGAAAGCGCGCAGAGTACAGGCTGCCGCTGTAGGAGGCGAGTCCCCTCGCCACACACATGAAGTAGCGGAACTTCAGTCTATTTGTAAACTCTCTCTTCCTTCCCACTTTCGTAGCCAGAATCCCCTGCTGACCTCCACCCTCCCACCTCCACCGCTGTGTGGGAGTTTCTCTTCCAGAATGGCTGCTCAGCCAGATTGGAATATTTTCCCAGTTAAAAGGAGAACTTCGTAGTGAAAGCTATAGACTTGAGAAACTAGTGAAAGCTAGAGACCTGAAGGAGGTAAGGAAAAGCAGAAAGACTCCTCTTGCTCTGTAAAAAGAAAGAAATCTTGGTCCGCAAAAAGAACGTTGTAAACCTCTTGCAAGACTGTGGCCATCAATGATTAAAAATGCCCAATTATTTTTAAAATTCCCAAGTAGACTCAGCACCTCCTTTTTTCCTATTAAAAATGTCTTCCTTATTAGGAATTCCTTCCTGCTGGAATTGAAACATGTTTTTCTTGACTTCTGCTCTCAGTAATAATATAATCGGATGTGCTTTCTCAAACGTGAATCTGATCCTCTCACTCCTAGACTTAAACCTCTTTCAAACTCTCTAGCTCAATTTAACGTGCTTCCTGATATGGCTTCTCTTTTTCATTCCAGCCCTTCCTGGGTACTGTCGCTTTCCTTCACACACCTTCCCCAGTCCTCTCCTCAACTTCACATGACAAAGATACTGTACCAGTAGGGTTCTCCAGAGAAACATACCAATAGGATGTGTATGTATGTGTGTATGTGTGTGTGTGTGTGTGTATGTGAATAAAAGATCTATTTTAAGGAATTGGCTCACACGATCATGAGGGCTGGCAAGTCCATTTGAAATGCCCAGGAGAGCTCTGGCAGGCTGCAAACTCAGGCAAGAATTGATACTTCAGTCTTGAATGTCTTCTTTTTTGGGAAACCTCTGTTTTTGCTCATAAGACCTTCAACTGATGATATGAGGCCTACCCACACCATCTAGGGTATTCTTTCCTTAAAGACAGCTACTGTAGATGTTAACCACATCTACAAAATACCTTTACAGCAACACCTAGATAATGGTTTGATTAAATAACTGGGTATTATAAACCAGCCAGGTTGACACGTAAAACTAACCATCACAGGTATTATCCTTCAGCTCTCCCAGCTGCCTGGAAGTTTCTCCTGAATCCTGGCTAGTCAGGTGTCTTACTGTTTGTTTCCCAGGACAACTTGTGCTTCCATCTTTTCACTTATCACATTGTGTTGTGCTTCTTTAAACTAGACTGTAAGCTCAGTGAGGGCATAAACCGTGTCTCCCTGTTCCCCAGAGTATCCACAATAACCAGTGACTGGTACTAAGTAGGTGTTTGATAAACATCCAAATGAAGGCGTGATTGTTGACATCATTCACCTGGTCTCCTTCCAGGTATTTGGAACCAAGGTATCCTAAATATTTGGGAAATGAGATGAATTCACCACTTTCAGAATCGTTTTCTACACTATCACAGGCTTTTTGTTCTCCAGATGATATGATCCCAATTTGAGTACTCTTTTTTTTTTTAACTTTCCCCCTTTTGTTCACCAACTTGATGCGTCTTTTTTGTTTCCTCTGGGTCTTGTACAAATTTAACCACACCTTACCAAGCACTAGTCTTCTGTCAAACTGGCTAGGGCTTACTGCAGTGGGGGACTAACTCGTAATTTAAATATGATTGTATTGTGCTTCCCTTTTCCCAGACTCCTGGGATGTAGGACTCACCACGAATTTCAAATGCTGAATCGCCATTTTCCCTCCTTTTCTCTATCAATTCACACGTAGCAGTTGTCCTCCATGTTCCCCTTTGCATTATTCTCACATTAGGCACACACATATATAGAGTGCTGGGGGGGAGGGAAGACTTACTTTACAGAGACATTAAAATAAGATTTAAAAAAAAATTCCAAACTTTAACATCAGCAGGAATCACTCCAACAGGCCAGCCTCAGCCTCACAAATAATTTGAAAGAACCAGGAAACCAGTCCTCACACTGATCTAGCCTTGCCTTCCACTGCAGCCCCTTCACAGCCCCCTCGATGAAATGTTCTTACCTCTATAAACACACATTTATTATGGTCTTTGAAGTAAGAGTCAAAAAAGGAGGTAGACCAGTTTGTATATCATTGCAACTGGAGAAAAAGGAAATGGGATGGTTTATCCTGTTTAATTTTATGCCGGCATTACCCAACACATATAAATCCCCATCAAAAGTGTAACAGAAAGACCAGGTAGACTCTATCTCTTTCATGCTGCAGGACTACTCAACACCCCTGAACTTTATTTTAATGGATAGGAAAACCTGAAATATGTAATAAAAAGATTTAATTGCCCCAAATTCTATACTGCCCTCACATGCATGTCGTTTGGCTCCAACCAGCAGCACAAAATCTACGGAACTTCACTTTTACGTTTATTTTGCTTTCCAAATTTGGCCTACTCAAAATGCGATAGTTAAAAAAAAAAAAAAAAAAAAGAGCATGCCACTGTCTTTCCCCTAATTCCAATCAGACCTGGAATTTTGGAGCCAAAGTGACTTCCTTGGGTATCCTAACTCTACCATTTCTGAACCATGTGAGTTTGAGGGAGTCCCATCTGTCTAACCATCAGTTTCCTTATCTACAAAATAGGAATAATACACTAAACTCACAAGAGATTGTTGTAAGAATTGAAGTGAGATAACATATATCTGTTTAACATTGTAGGTTCTCAAAAGAATTTTATCCTCTCCTATGCTTGACCTAACCCCATAAATCAGGTGGCTTCTGGCCAAGCAAGACCACCAACAAATTCCACCTCTATAATGAATCTTGCCATTTATTTAATCTTCTGGATAACACAACTGCAAAGGTCTAACATGAGGAAGAATGAATCTCATTCATCAAATATATACTGAAGGCCTACTAGGTGCCAAACAGAAGCTCTATGGATATAGCAAGGTTGCTGCCTTCATTAAGCATATGGTCTAGAGAGGGAAGGTGCTAAACAAACATAAAATTAAAATTCAGTAAGTGCAATAAAGAGAAGGTACAGGGTACTAAGAGAGTATTTATGTTGGTGGGTCAGGGAAGGACTGTCTAAAGAAGTAATACTAAAGTTGGACCCTGAAGATGAGCAAGAGTGAAGAGGGAGAGACATAGTATAAGGAAAGAACTTCCTCGTGGGAAGGAAGAGCATGCAGAGAGGCTGTGGCAGGAAGAAGCTTGGAGAATTTTGGGGGCTCAGAGAGTGAGGATTGGTGGTAGACCATGATCAAGCTGGAGAGGCAGACAAAGACCAGATGATGCAGCACCTGGATTTTAGTTAATGGGATTTTGATGAATTTTCAGCCAAGGACTAACTTCATCAGATGGCATTTTTTAAAAATGACTCTGGGGCCAGCCTCATGGCCTAGTGGTTAAGTTCAGCATGGTCCACTTCAGTGGCCCGGGTTCAATTCCCAGGCGTGGACCTACACCACTCATCGGCGGCCGTGCTGTGGTGGTGACCCACATACAAAATAGAGGAAGATTGGCACAGATGTTAGCTCAGGACTAATCTTCCTCAAGCAAAAAGAGGATGATTGGCAATGGATGTTAGCTCAGGGTGAATCTTCCTCAGCAAAATAAATAAATAAATAATCACTCTGGTTTCTACATGGAGAACAAGCAGAAGGTGAACAAAAATGTGAGCATGTACACAGCAAATTTAGATGTTATTGCTTTAGCCCAGGCGAGAGA